TCTGAACGTTAAGCCGAAAGAGGTCGCGTCGAAGAAAGCGAAAAAGGACAAGAAGAAGGGAAAGAAAGGAGCCGAGCCCGCTCCTGAAATCGAAGAAGATGCGATGCCAGAACCGACCGAAGATGTCGAACAGAATGACGACATTGCCAGCGACTTCGAGTTTGCGGTCGGAGACATAGATACTGGATTCGTGGAGGAGTTTGACGGCTGGGGCAACGACAATGGCACAGTGGCGCAGGAGTCGCAGAAGAAGGGCACCGCAGTCGATGTCGACGACATTATCGAGCGGAGACGGAACAAGAAGAGCGCACAAGCAGTCATAGAAACGGAGTCGCCCGAGGCTTCTGTCAACGGCGACTTTGAGGGCTTCGGCGAGGACGACGAGCTCATGGCTGAAGACGGGTTCGGCATGGGCGCAGCAAGCGACTCAGAGGAAGATGAGGAGGACGAGGAGGATGCTTCAGGGGCTGAGGGTAGTGGAAGTGAAGAGGAGGGCGACTCGGACGAAGAAGCAGAAGTACCGCATGTACCACATCCCATGGACCTTGAGGGCGCCGAAACAGACCATGAAGATCAGAGCGAGGAAGAGGACGCCGTCGAGGCGAAGAAGGCAGCCGCTTTCTTCGCGCCCGAAGACAGCGTGCAGATCAAGAAGAAGAAGGGGGCCAAAGGAGGTACTGGCTCTTTCCAAGCCATGTCGCTTTCACGACCCATTTTACGAGGTTTGGCATCTGTTGGCTTCACCGAGCCCACGCCTATCCAGAACAAAGCAGTTCCGATTGCGATGCAAGGCAAGGACGTCGTGGGAGGAGCTGAGACCGGTTCCGGTAAAACGGCCGCTTTCCTCATTCCTATCCTCGAACGTCTGCTCTACCGACCAAAGAAGGTTCCAACCACTCGTGTCGCCATCTTCATGCCTACTCGTGAGTTGGCGGTACAATGTTTCAACGTCGCGACCAAACTTGCCTCCTTCACCGACATTACCTTCGCACTGATGGCTGGTGGTTTCTCAACGCGCGACCAAGAGGCTGTGCTGAAGACCAGACCGGATGTTGTGATTGCGACGCCTGGTCGTTTCATCGATCACATGCACAACACAGCTGCCTTCCAGGTTGAACATCTCGAGATTCTTGTTCTCGATGAAGCCGATCGTATGCTCGAAGAGGGTTTCGAGACCCAACTGAACGAGATTCTGACGACTATTCCGAAATCACGACAGACTATGCTGTTCTCTGCTACCATGACGAGCTCAGTCGACAAGCTTATCCGTATCGGTATGGACAAGCCCGTACGTCTGATGGTTGATGCGAAGAAGCACACTGTAGCAGGTCTGACGCAAGAGTTCGTGCGATTGAGGCAGGGCAAGGAAGATAAAAGGCTTGCGTATTTGATGTACATCTGTGAAAAGATCTACACAGAGAAGGTCATCATCTTCTTCAGGCAAAAGAAGGAAGCGCATAGGGTGCGCGTTGTATTCGCTCTCTGTGGGCTCAAGGCTAGTGAGCTCCATGGTAACATGAGCCAAGAGCAAGTAAGCAACTCAATAACATTTGACGTTTGGTACAATACTAACAGTCATAGCGTATTCAATCCGTGGAGGCTTTCCGATCAGGCAAGTCCGCCTACTTATTGGCTACCGATGTCGCCTCGCGTGGTCTTGATATCAAGAACGTCGCGGTAGTCATCAACTACGAAGCACCGCAAAGTCACGATATCTACATGCATCGTGTTGGTCGTACCGCTCGTGCAGGACGAAGTGGTCGTGCCTGTACGCTTGCCGCAGAACCTGACCGCAAAGTTGTCAAGCAGGCCGTCAAGGCTTCGCGCGACCAAGGCGCCAAGGTTGTTAGTCGACAAGTACCCGTAGAAGAAACCGACAGGTGGATGAAGAAGATCAAGGATCTCGAAGGCGAGATTGAGGAGGTCCTCGCCGAAGAGAAAGAGGAGCGTGCCATGAGCGTCACAGAGCGTGACCTCAAGCGAGGTGAGAACCTGATCCAGCACGAAGATGAGATCAAGTCTCGGCCAAGGCGCACATGGTTCGAGTCCGAGAAGGACAAGTTGGCAGAGAAAGAGAAGGGTGCTGCTGCACTAAACGGATCTTCCCAGTCTGCCGGAGCAGCCCTGAAGGCCAAGAAGGGGAAGAAGCTCAGCGGCAAAGACCGCAAGAAGCTCGAGATGAACGACGTCCGATCAGAAGGCAAGGTATGGAAGAAGGGCAAGGCGGATCGTGGTCTCAGTACTGGCAAAGCGAAGGAGAAGCAAGCTCACCAGAAGGCTAAGTCGAAGAAGATCGCTGCGAAGACTGGGTCGTTCAAGGGTTTCAAGGAGTAGGCAGTTCTTTCAGGAGCGGTTACATAGCTTAATGATACCTCTGATCACGATTTATCGATTCATTGCCTCTTAAGGTACATGAAGAAAAGTACATGAGCAGGGTTGACGAATACGTAGACCTATTCGTAGGTCGTTACGCAAGCAGACTCTCAATGAAGACTTCCCCACTGTTGTATTGCCTTTCTGCATGAAACATGAGATACTACCGTCAGCAGCAAGACCCGGCAGATGGTGTGAAAACAATAACCATAAATTCACAACGTCCATTGCGGATGAGCGCACATGGTCCGTTTGGTCCGGTGACGGAACTGATGTGCGATTGACCTCATATGCCAAGCTCACCCCCTTTTCGGTCTAGGCGGGTAACCGGGAGCTGGCGGACGAACATGGCAGATTTATGGTACCTCAATTTCCAGGCACAACTACTTTTGCTTCCACCAATTTCTTGACACGTACGCTCCTTCCAACACCTCTAACTACGCCTTCTTGTCCATCTCGGTCTTACTTTTTTGGCAGCCGTACTACCAAGCACCTGCATTCGCGACAGGGTTCGTTATCAGCTCGGCTTATCGGCGGCTCATTCGACAACTTTCTGGTCTGGACCCGCACAGCTTCAACAGCTATTGCAAGCCCGACAAAGCGTCTGTTGGCACGAAGCACGCCCGTTCCGAACGATTCCGTCCGTTCACGCCCAGCGCTGGACTTCACCTCGCCTGCACGTCATCCCATACGAGCACCTGCTGCCTAGTGCTCTGAGCATCAGCAGAGCGCGCATACGAGCCTCCACTCTCTGCAGTCAGCGCAGCGGGGTACACGTGTATACAAAGACTCGCAGCTATAGCGAGTGTCTCTATTGAGGATAATTGGGAAGACGGATCGTACTCCATCTCGACCACCATGGCATCAGTACAAACACAAGCCAACGGCAACGGCGCCGCGGTGCGGCCAGCACAGGCTGAGAAGGAGGGCGCGTACGAGAACATATTCCTCTTCATCCCAAACTTGATCGGTAGGCGCGTCCTTTCCATATCAGCATACACGAGCTAACACTCCCACAGGGTACTCGCGCGTCTTCCTCGCCCTCATCTCGCTCTACTACATGCCCCTCCACCCACGCACATGCACCCTCCTCTACAGCATATCCTGCCTGCTCGATGCGCTCGACGGCTACGCCGCGCGGGCCTACGAACAGAGCACCAAGTTTGGAGCTGTGCTCGACATGGTGACGGACAGGTGTACAACAACGTGTCTGCTCGTTTTCTTGGCGCAAGCGTTTCCGCGCTTCAGCATCGTCTTCCAGGGCCTCATCTCCCTCGACTTGGCTAGCCACTACATGCACATGTACGCGACGCTGAGCATGGGCGGCAGCGGCCAGAGCCACAAGAACGTGAACGAGAGCAGGAGTTGGTTGTTGAAGCAGTACTACTCCAATAACGTACGTTACTTTCAACTGGAATCGCGTGTGTAGCACAGTCAACAAAGACATATGCTAACAACCCCCCCAACAGAAAGTCCTCTTCACCCTCTGCGCCATGAACGAAATCTTCTTCATAGCCCTCTACCTCCTCTCCTTCAGCTCGCCCCTCCTCTCCCCGACCCTCTTCTCCGACCTCAACAACCCCTCGTCCATCCAGCCCGGCTCGCCCGCCGCTCCCAAACCCTCCATGTTCTTCGCTAGCCCCTTCTCCGCCGCGGCCATGGAGATGGCTCGTGCCAACAAGATGGACTCGACTGTGCCCTGGATCTGCATGCTTACATCCGCTCCCTTTATGGCGGTCAAGCAGTGGATAAACGTTGTGCAGATGGTCAAGGCGAGTCAGTGGCTCGCGGAGGGGGATCGCGAGGCGAGGAGGAAGGCGGGTTTGCCTAGGAAGGGGGGCGCGAAGAAGAGTCAATAGACGGCTCTTCCTGTCGGACACATAAGCGGGTCTAATGTCCAGAGCTGGCGAAAGGACAGACAGACTCGTGGGTAATGAGGAGTACCGCTCACCTGGTGGGTTATATTTGGTGGGCATGCATGTGTACAGATCAGATCTTCTGTATGCTGTTTTTCTCTCTCTTCATCTTTCTTTCTTTTCTTGTTTTCACCTACTCATTTTGTAGTGATTTGCGACTTCACTTGTCTGCTTCATCAACTTTCTTCATTCGTTTTTCTTAGCTTCTAGCTTTTTTATCTTGTACGAGTGTCATCTCTTTTGCCTCTATATAGATGGTCCCAGGCTTTGCGGCGCGGAGAAAACAAAAAGATCAAAGTCTTGACAAGGCCTTTGTACGCCAGTATAATAATATGTCGTCTGCTGTATATATCTGAACTACTGGATGATGGAAGTGACTCTTACAAACAGATGTGATGTGAAGCTAGAATTGCGTTTTCATTGTGCTATGAATAATACGTGTTTCCTCTAATCCCTACTATCCCCATCTCGTTTTCCTTCGATACAACAGTAATACGCAACTCATGCAAGCATCTCCAACAGCCCCTCTCCAACCCATTCCAATTCATTCGTCCATCCAATCGTGTCTTTCTCACAAACAACAATCACATTCGCGTCGTCTGTGTCCTTCTGCGACCCAAGTCTCGCCGCAGCCCCTTTAATGAGAAACCCTTTTTCTTCCGTCCATCCATAACGATGCTGCTAGCCGGGTGGACTGGGGGTTGAGGAATCCTATTTCCCCGAAACACGTCCCGCCCGGACCAGGTCCTGAAATGCTGATTCTAGTGCCCGCTTTACTTCGCGGTAGCTCACTATCAGCACGTTTTGCTCGTCGCGGCTGACGAGCGGTATCTTCTCGTCGGTCCCGGCGTCGAGCTTGTTCAAGCAGTCGAGGACGTGCGCGAGGTCGGTGACTGGGTGTCCGTTGGCGTCTACTTGGTGGAAGACGTAGTCGCGGAACAGCTTGAGGTAGTAGCGCTCTCCAGTTTCTGCCCATACCGAAGACGGGTTTGCGCCGCTGTTGCCGGGCATGTTTTGAGAAGCGTCTAGCTCGGGTCGCTCGTTGATCATATTGAGCTTGACCAGCAGACGGACCAGTCTCGACGATTCCAACTCTTTTCCGAGGTTCACTGTAAGCGTGTCCTGGGCATGTAGCTCGCTGTCGAAGACCGATGCAAATTGGTCGGCAATACCTCCCAGGAACGTGTCAATGTCTTTCTGCATCGGCGCCGGTGTTGTAGGGGACGATGGTGCTCCTGGTGCTGGTTGAGGGTTGAGCAGCCATTGCACGCACTCCTTGAGACGGGCTGTATAACTTCTAGTGATATAGTCCATCGACTTTTGCATCTGCAAGTGGGCTGTGGCGTTGTTGTTCGCGATGCAAAGTATTAGTCGTCCTAGCTGAACAAGGTCGTCTGCTTGCAGTTCGGGCACGGGACGCGCATTGTCAAACTGGACTATGTCCATAATACTGCATGCGTTGAGTCGTATCCGGTTCTTTGACGTCAACAGTATTTTCGAAGGTGTGATGAGGCGCGCTGCGAGACCCGAACCGTGTATGGCCTTTAAAGCCGATGCAATTTGAACAATGTAGCCCCATAACACTTGCTCCGGTACGTGCGACGATGCAGGTTGCCTCCCGTGGAAACGCTGCACCGGCTTGAAATGCTCATCAGCAAGTGACTTCGAATTTGGATGGTAGTCCGTGACTAAGATTAGAGAACTATCGCCAAAAGCTCGAGTAGTGAACGCTTCGTGGATTGTAACCACATTGCCGTTCAAAACGCGTTTCCATGGCTGGGCGGAGCGAATTGCAGTCTCGCTTGTAAGGCGGAAGTTTTCCAGACGGCGTAGCGCATACGTCTTGCCATCTTTGCTTGACACAGCTTTGTAGATCCAGCTGGCGTACCCAAATGGAGCCGTGTTCTTCTGGGGTGACATGTCTAAACAAAACAAGGAGTGAAACTGCTCAATGACCGGCAAAGTACTATTCGGTGCGACCTGACGTGCAATATCCGCCTTCTTTTGCAACTCTTCCCGAAGAGCGTCAGGTATGAAGAAATCATGTGCAGTACGCTGGTAAGCAAGTAGACCCGTCGGCTGAGGCCCTACCGGCCAGTACAGATGGTATGCTGGAGTTTGAAACGCGTTGGCGTTCTGGAAATACGTCGTCGAAGCATCTTGTGCATACGGGTTGATGGTAGCAGCTTGGTGGGTTGCACCTGCCAGGGTAGAAATGCTGGACGGTGTGCTGAAAGGATCGTAGCCCACATTAGGGTCCACCTAGGGCGTTGTGAGTCGGGAACTGGATGTAAGAACGTGCACCAAGGTCACGAATTCAAGACAGATATATCAAGTAAAGCCACGCACCATCTGCTGACCCTCAAAAGACTGCGGGACAAAATCTTGGAAGTCATGTGAATTCCAATCAATGGCGGGTTCTTTCGCGTGCATATGTGGGGTGGTGACGGCTGAGACGATCAGCATGCATGTAGAAGTCATTTGCGAATGCTCAGGACTCACCGGAGCGTTGCGATTTGGGAGTGAAGACGGCAGCATTGGCCGCCTTGGGCGAGATAGCGGCACTGCGAGAAGACGGGGTCACAGATCCATTGGTGCTCGCCTGCAGAGGCGTGAAGGAAGGAGAGTCGACATTAAACCTCTTTTTGGCGTTTTCGTTCTGGCCCAGCTTGAGGGTGTCGTGGATGTAGGGGCAGGCTAGACAGGGTCACCACAGGATTCGGCAGGTGCGGCCAGCAGCACTTACTGTTTTCGTACCGGCAGTGTCCGTAGATGGTGACATTGCGGCAGAGGGTGTTCTTCGCTTCTGCATAGGCCAGTCAGACATGACATGTGTATAAGGTGTGGCTGCGTCATACCGCGTCCCTTAGGGCGAGGAGAGACGACTCCCCGTCGCGTATCACCCGAAGGACCGCCAAAGGTTGTTGCCATGAATCGCGGCTGGCTCGTCGCGGCGGTGTTGGTAGCAATAGAGGGGTGCTGGCGCGTCTTGGACGCAGTCGGGGGTGAGCGAGCAGCGCTCTGCGCGGGCTCTACGGGCTGCGAAGTGGGCGGTTTGCGGTCGGAGCCGGTATCATCTGACGAGCCGCCTCCCCTACTCCATCGGCCCGTGGACTTGTTCGAGTGTTTCCGCCTGGTGGTGCGCGCCTGTTTCTGGGGCGTGGTAGGGGCGTTGCGCCCGGGGGGATTGGGAAGCGAGTCCCGTGACGACGACGACGTCAACTCGGAGAAGGATTCGGTAGTCGAGGAGCCAGAGCTGGCAATGGCAGTCGCATGTGGGTGGCCCCTGGCTACGGAAAAGAAGGCAGGGCGCGGGGGCGTCGTGGAAGCGTGCGGCGCGCCTTTGTTCGGCGGCGATGCAGGCTGAATGGTGGGCAACCTGTGGCCGGCGTGGTGAGAAGTTCCTGCGAGCACATTAGAGAGCGAGCCCATCAGCGGCGACACGTCGTGGGCAGAGAGAGACGGCGGCTGGAGGTGCCCAGGGCCGCCGTCAGACATGGCGGGCGGGATGTTTCGCGATAGCCGACGAGAGTGGCATGCTTGGGGCGGGACAATTGGATGGGTACCTTTCGGAATTGCGGGCTATGAGCCACCCCCAGCGAGTCCAGCGTCCTGTAGGAGCAGCAGCCGCGTCTCCATTAGCAGGCACAGTCCAGATGTCGAGGCAGACTAGACGAGCAGGCGCGCTGGGTGAGTGAGGTGTGATAGCTGCGGGCTACACCTATCAGCGAACAGCCGCCTTCCCTGTTGTTTGGCGCGTTTGCAGCTGGTGGCTTAGTCATCCGCTCAGTCATCCGACTTCCCCCTCGGCATGCTTCACACATCACCACCTAGGTACGACATCACCTGAGGTCAACATCAGACACTGAACACGAGGCCTTACTTGCATTGGAACTCGTCTCTTCACGAATATTGCAGGTCACTATACCTTCATGTCCCTCGCCTCTCCTGATCTCGTCTGTCGCCCACACCTTTGACTCCTCACTCAAACGCCCTCCGTCTCCCTCATGACTTCCATCTTCGCCGTTTGCAATGTATTCTTCTACCTTGACCGGCGTCGATGAAGAGTGTGTCGGAATATGCGAATCATCCGAGCACCCATGGCGTTCGCATTGGTCTGCACGCTGCGGTCGTGAATGGCCTGGCGAGGGCACTGTCTGGATGCCTCTGTTTGCGCTTGGGGTCCAGGGATTAGCGGTTGCAGCTCGCTGAAGATGGCCTCATGTATTTCTCCCCGCTGACTCATCTGCTCCGGGTGGAGATCTGGCTCTCTGTTCTGGGGTGGTCGCACAAGTTCGTCCATGTCCGGTGTACGAGGCAGTTGTGTGAACGTACTGCTACCCCCATTGACGACGGGCCGGGTCTGTTGTTGTGCAGCGACAGGTTCAGCACTCATGGTACGGCTTGCTCCTCCCACGGCTATGGGACTGTTGAATCTTGACGGTTCACCCTGCTCTTGCCGCCACTGGAGATACTCCGGGTCAAGCAGAGCTTCTGCATTGGCTCCACGCGGCATCTCATCGAACCAACTAACTCTCATACTCTGGCTCTGAGCGGCCGAGGACCTGAACGGCGACATACCGGGTTGCCATCTACTACCTTCGCCCGGACGCGACGAAGACACTTCTCGCTGTCGTGCTGGACGTTCTACCATGAACGCCTGTGGTGTAGGTACGACAGTCGATGATCCACCAAACTGGCTTTCGCTGGCCATGTAGTGACGGAAAATGCCTGCGTTCACAAACCAATTGTGTCTGTAGTCTGCAAGCATAAACCTTACTGCTCGTTCCGAAATACCCTCAAGCGCTTGCCTGGTGTCCCTTTCAGTTGCGATCGAGAGAAGTGAGAACAACCTTGTCTCTTGCAGGAGCTCCCGATCAAAGCTGCCAACAACAGCACTTCTTAGCCATTCGCTGCGCATAGCCCCGGTCTCGTCGGGAGTGAAGTGCCAGTTGTCAGGCATGAGTTTGTTCAAGAGAGCGCCATATTCGATAAGCAACCTTGTCTGGTCTAGACCTGGCTCGGGACGGTTGTCTGAAGCCGGTTGGGGACCAAGATGGAGACGAAGCTGCTCCAATCGCTCCAGGTCGCGCACGAACGCAGAGCGATTCCTCCAGCGGTCCTCGAGAGCGACGCCGGAAATTCGGTCTGTTTCCAAGATTTTCAGTCTGCGATAACGCTCCTCTATAGGTGTGTATTCGCCTGTTGCCGGGTCGGGCATGATACATGAAGGCACCGGTTTCAACTCGTGAACGGCTTCTAACGCACGTCGGAATCGAGGGTCGCTTGGCGATGCATCAGGAATATCAAGGTTATGGCGCCTAAGCTCGCTCAGAAGTAGGTTGTTGTGGTTGCGAAAAGCTACCACCGTGTCTCCCAGCATGGACACGGTGTTACTTAGTTCGTCTAAGCTCGTGAATACGCCAGCCAGATCTCCTTGTTCATCGACATCACTTGGGGGTGGCTGCGTCGTCACGATTAGCGAATGCGCGTGGATTAATTTTGTAAACAATGCTTACAGGTAGAGGGTGACGACTCGGAAAGAGCGGCAGGCGACAGTTTGGACAGCTGCTATGTTGTGTGTTCCATGAGTTGAGCCAGGCCAGCAAGCAATGCTTGTGGAAAGTGTGGCCGCAACGACGAATCTCGTCGACCTCCTGGTCCGACTGTAGCTCATCAAGACAGATTGCACACAGCGTCGGTATATCATCGCTGCTTGTCGTCGCGCGCAAGCCGATGCGGACGAACTCCTCTTGATTCGCTGCCATTGCGACTTCCGGCGGTGTTCAAAAGTCAGTCAAGAGCTGTCGCGAAAATGAAACTTGAGGCAAGAGTATTGTTGGGGAGCTCGGACTTGCTGCCTGATTTTCCACTTCTTCGATTCACTTTCACGTTATTCGTACGCGCGTTTGCACCTTGTGGTCACTCGGCTGTCTAACAACCGCCCCGCAAGCATTTATCGATATTGTTACTGGACGCTCGACAGACAATTGTACTAAGGGAATCCTCTTCTAAAGTTATCAACCATCACGATTACCCGCTATCTACAACCTCGCTACCCTTCAATATGCCCTGGGCCCCAGCTCTAACGGAGCAACAAAGGCGGGACACACCACAAGACAGCGTCGAGAGGGTCACAAGTGCGATACGGATGATCAGACCATGTAGCGGCACTGTAGACGACCACGGTCGAACCGCGCCGAACATGTTTCACCTCCTCGACTGCGGCCATGTTGTCGTTATCGATGGGTCGGATACGAGATGCGGTAGCAACTGCCGATACCCCATAAATGGGGCCAACCCACAGTTCTCAGAGACCCTCGTAAAGTCACCCACGGCGTATGTTATCGACGAAGCTTTTAGGTTCTGTCAATCGCTAATGCGTCCTCTTCTAGTCCAAGGCTCATAAGTATCCTGGCCACTGACTTTCGGCCGCGTCAAGAACCCCTCTATTGCGAAGTCTGTCAGGGAATTCCAGTAGACCACTACCTCTTCCAGAAATACCGTCGACGTTCTCTCGCACTCACACGCGGAGAAATCGTAGCGGCTCTCCAGATTCCGAACGACCTGGTCGACAACATATTGGCGGCACCGTTCCCCAATCCAGACCTCCAAGAGCACAATTTACATTGTGGCCACAAGGTCTACTGTGTTGCTCAGCAACCTTGTGGTCAGAACTGTGAGTCTGACAAGCCCTGCCCCACGCATCCCTTGGCACTTCTTCTCAACAAGGACTCCGGCGTTATCTTTTGTCAGGAGTGCGTCTTGAGAGCGGAACGGCTTTATACGAGGTATGAGGCGAAGGAGAAGGAGTTGGAGGTGAGACGCGAAGGTTACCCCGGGCCGGGGGCTGAATTTGGGTTCTAGGTTTGTTGTTGGTTCCATTCTTCGTTAATTCTTCGGGCATTCCACATGATAGACCTTGATTGAGCTTTCTATGTTTGTAGAGTGGCGTAGACCAATTTCTCCTCTTCTCGATACCATTGGTGATAAAAGCGCACGACCGTTGGTCTTGATGACGTATCTGGCAGAGGTCGGAATCTCGCTCTCACTTCGGGAGCGCGCAAGCTCCAGTGCCTATTCGGTATTCACTATGCCAATGGGGTTGCATCGCTTTGGGTTTCTCACTATTGTCGCATGTCTGCTCGTCCTATTGTTCTACAGTCTCGGAGCCTAGCGTGCCTGGACGCATCGAGCGATAACCGCTCACCTTCACTGCAATTTAGCAAAATAGGCTACGAAGGTTCTCTTAGTTTCTCTCTTCTACAACGGGTAGTCTGTAACACCAACGCAACTACTCCCTCGTTCTCAACCGCAGACCGATCACATACTTAGCGACTCATCGACCTCACCGCGGGTTCGCATCATCAGCAAACCTTCATCAACAGCTCGATGGGTAAACAGAAGACAGTCACGACGGGAAAGTCGCCGGGACGTCCTCGCGGTGGCGCCAAAGGTGGTAGCCGTGGTGGCGGCCGACCGAAAGGCAGAGCCTCAAAGTCGGCGACTCCAGCGCCATCAGCGCCAGAAGCTGTACCTGATAGACCGGGACCCAAGCTACTGTTCAAGCCATCGGTGGGAAGATCGGACAGCCCAGCGCAGGAGCGCGACGCGACACCGGGATATAGCGAGAGAGACGATCAAGACGACGACCTTCCTCAGCAATCCGAAGAAGCGGCGCCGGTCACGACTCGCACTGGACGAGCGATTCAAAAGCCAAACCAATACGACGCCGCTCAGGGTAGCGAGATCGATGCCTTCATTGACCAGGCTGAGGAAGATGCTAGAAACGATGGCAGAGGAACCATCGCGAGTGATCCATGTGAGTGCTCATCTTTCTTGTTTTATGAGCCCAGATTGCTGACCTTGGCTCAGCGTACACTACACACAAGGCCCAAGAGCAGATGAAGCAGCCGCCAAAGACACCAAAGCCAAGAGGACGTCCGCCCAAGGACCGCACGCCGTTTGGCGCCGCCGCTAGGAAATCAGTCGAACAGTACGGGATGTTCGCGTCCCCTGCCGTGCCTCCCCCGTTCGTAGCAGACAAAGAAATATACCTCATCCTGAGCAACCTCAAGAGCAACGCCAAAATCAACCTCGACCTTCCCGGCCTCACCGACGCCGCCAACCCATACCAGGCCCTACCCTACAGCGCCAAGACCCTCACCCAGCTATACATTGTCTGCTACCAAGAGAAGTTCTGGGATCTCTGCGACATGGTAGCCGACACATGGATCCGCAAGTTCCACGACCAGCGCAAAAAGGCTCAAGAAGATAAGGAAAAAGACGAGAAAAAGGATGAGGAGAAAACAGAGGAAATCTGGCTCCCGAATCGAGCGCTCAATCGGCGCAAGCGAGTCGCACAACATGCGTGGCGGAAGGGCAAGAACATCCCGGCGGAGTTCGATCAGTTTCCCAGAGACTACGACTTGGAGGTCACGGATCCTGAGCTTGACAAGGATGTTACTTCGGTTCACACTGACCTCCTCAACTTACTTTACACATATACATCACCGAGATGTGGAGCGAGACTCCTCTGGGCCGACGCACTCGCCCTGGGCGGCGACAAGACCGAGCACATCGTCGGGAAAGTCACGCGCAAGGGCTTCGCTCTACACCCCGAGCTCCTCTTCGACATCATGCAAACAAGTCTGCGCATGGTCCGGCGTAACCTCACACTGAAGATCGAAGAGAGCACCGAAGGCGCATGGTGCAAGCGATACCACGAACACGGCAAAAACGGCAACGCTTGCTACCGACAGCGCGCGTCGAGGGTTGACGAGGGCCTAGAGATGGCAATAGAGCTGTCTAGGAACAGGGAAGAGGTTGAAGGGGAGGGCGTAGCTGATGATGTGGATTTGATAGAGGAGTTGGAGTTGGCACTGTGGGCGCAGGAGCAGGAAGACACTCCCAGGGCTGAGAAGAGAGGGCGCGAGGATGGTGGTGAGGTTTGTCCGAGTAAGCGGGCTAGGTTTGTGGGGGAGGAAGAGCATGCTGAGGGGGACTCTGAGGAGGATTGAGCGAGCTCGGCATGGAGGGTCCGCGGTTGCCTTTTCCGGGAATCCGGGCACGATGTCGACATAATGGTACGACATCGGTATGCCAGCATTTCTGCGGTTAATCCGATACCAGCGCAGTGCAGATGGAGAAAAAAAAATTGCACCTACTTACGTTCTGAACTGAAGACGCGATGTGCTGATCATTGCGCACTGTTGCGCAGCGGTGGTCATATCGCACCTGCCTCAGATTGTCCTTCACTCCATCGCGCCTACTCCCTGGTCGTCACTTCCCTCGGGGCCACGGCACAATGCTAACACGTGCTTCATCGCCTAACTGCCACTTACAAACCTCGCCATCTCATTTGCTGCCCACACACCGACATTCTCCCATCACCCCAGATCTAACGTTCAGTCACACACTCCCCACAACTAGTTCCGGATAACCGTACTGGACCCCTCAGGCGTCCAGTCAAAGTGACATGTGAACCTCGTACCCCGGGTCCCATTTCTCCGCACGGCTTGAATCAGTCGTTGTGATTACAAGACGTATAAATGGGTCTTATCCCCAACATTGGCGCCTTGGTCCGTCTTGGTTGATACCCACAATGAGCTCGTAAGTGCGTGCTTTCCCACCCATATGCTTTCCAAGGCGGCTAATCAGTTCAGAGGCGTTTGTCAGCGTCCGTATCCACCCGATCATTCAACACCTCCGCCCGCGGACATACGCACACGATGTTTGGATGGATGTGTTGAACGAAAGCCAATGTCTGTTGAGGGCGACCTAGCCGGCAACGCGGATTGAACATAACACCACCTCAGTAGATGTTTCATGCACGGCAATCACCGACACTTGGATTCTTGTGGCTTCGACGGTAGCCGTTTGTATACACGATGCATAAGAGGAAGGATTAGACCCACTGGCATCGCCGACCAGCCGATCAATCTCGCCCGCTGTGGACCAGAAGGATGCCCGCATGATTCTCAAATTTATCGCAGCGCTTGAGAGGACGGGACATGACTTCGATGATGCCTACGAAAGATACGATGTAGCAAAAACGTTGCTCTGTTGACGTCTAAGACAAGCACTTGGGCGTCCTTTGGCACAATGGCTTGCGCTGTTCACAAGCACTTGGTGAAGGCATGGCAAGCTTGGTCTTCGCTAACCATCTCACGCGCACCTCGTGTGTGTGGAGACCCCAAGTCAAAGCGCCTGCGTTCGCACCGATAACACTCGGAGCTCCGACCGGGGGTGGTGGACGTATCACACCTCTAGACCTGTCTGTTTCTTCGCATCGCATGACAAGATGCACTGCGAATGCAAAGCTCTGTGGAGACAAGAAGAACCCTGGCGGTCTGGGCTTTCGTCAAGACAACAAAGCGCTTGGAGATGTTGTGCTTGCCGTTGTGGGTTCAACGATCCAGCTGCCACTACGGCAGAATACCCTTCCTGCTGGACTTTGGGGTACAGAGCCAAGTGAGAGCCAAGAGTCGGATCATTGTCCTACGACCCATCAGAGGCTCCGACAACCAGGACTCGTATCAGCGCCAGAGCGACCGAAGAAGCGACACATTTTCACACCTGCGCAACGTTAGCTCTACCAGTATATCCTGCAGGCGCCGTATCTATGTCCGATAGTGTAGTCCCCACGGCATATGCATTGGAGGGACGGGATACCATTTGGGGTAGTCACAACGCGGGCGCTACTGGAAAAGGCTGAAGGAGTTGGAGCCGCATCGCTTGTGTCGACACACCGCCGCGAGACGAGGTCTCGTCCAGGAGCTTAACCTCAGAAGCCGACACCCTGCTCCGACGCTCCTCTCGGTCATAATTCTGCCGGCGAACGGTCTCGTCGCGAGGCAGCGTCAGAATAGCGTAGTAATTTATCCCGCGTGCGAGATTTTCCCGGGATGGTACCAGCCAATAGCGCGGCATGTATTTACGGCACCTCCCCGGCCGCTACGAGGAGCTTGACAAGCTTCTCTTCCTCGACTGACAGCTAACGTGGGAGACCAAGAGAAATCCGGGACACGAGAGCGTTTGGGGAATAATGCGGGGTTCCCATCGTGTGGTGGCCAGGTTCTTGACTCGTCCTTAGCTCGGCCCCAAGCTCCACAAGACGCACGAACAAGGAAGCTTTCTCCACCTAAGCCTGCCAACCTTTCCGCCTCCTTACTGGGCATGTAACCTACGTGCAGATGGCGCTGCCGTGAGAGACACGAGAGGCGACCGGCGTGGCCGCTTGATCGGTAATTGATCAGACGATCAGCGGTCCGCTTACTGCGCGAGGGTTAGTTCCAACGCCTGCAATGGCCGACGAGACGGGTCGACCTATTGAACGTTGGGAAAACCACAGTTGGGAAGGTCATCCGGCATTCCTGGCTCGGAAGACCGACGCCGACCGCTACTGGCGATGGACAAACGTGGAGTAGAGGCTTCCGGGGTTGACTCTGGGGTCTCATGGATGGTGTGATTTAGCAGGCCTTGCGTCTGGGATCTCCGCAACTCGTACCCCACCATCAGTTCAAGTATAAGAGGCACATGCGCCTTTGTACAGTTGAGTCGTCACTGCCTTTCCTCCCTGTCCGACAGACGTAGGTTCCGCAGCTCAATCACGACCTTACTCCGATCTACCTATACCAATATCGCCCATCATGGTCGTTTGGAACCCATGGAAGGAGAACTTGAAGCACACTCCCAAGGAGAGCCTTAACTGGCGTCTCTGGTATGGTGTCTTCGGTAAGTTATCTCACCTCCCACCAGACTCTACCCAACTAACTCGTCCTAGTCTTTGGTCTCATGGGCGCTGCTCGTGGTATCGACGAAGGCCTCATCGGTACTACAGCCGAACTCGACCCCTTCAAACGCAAGTTCGGACTCGAAGAAGACGGCAGCAAGAGCGAGCACGAGATCGCGGAGCTTCTATCGAACATCACATCTATGGTACAGATGGGTTCCATCTTGGGTTCCCTCATTGCCTTCTTCATCACCGATAAGATTGGTCGTCTCTGGGCTACTCGCCAACTTTGCATTGTCTGGGTTATCGGCATCGTCATCTTCCTCACCAGCTCTATCACTGGTTCCGTTGGACAAATCTACGCCGGCCGCTTCATTGCTGGTATCGGCATCGGACAGACCACTGTCGTCGCGCCCACCTACCTAGCTGAGACTGCGCCCAGGGCCATCCGTGGTCTCTGTGTCTGCGCTTTCGCTGGATCAGTCTACATCGGTATCATGCTGGCCTATTTCGCATCTTGGGGTTCCTCCATCCACATCTCGTCTGCCACTGATGCTCAATGGCTCGTACCCAACAGCATGCACATCATGTTCGCTGGTCTCATCTTCACCCTGTCTTGGTTCGCCAAAGAGAGCTCTCGTTGGTTGATCAAGGTCGGCCGCCACGAGGAGGCGCTCGACAACCTCGCACAACTCCGCAACCTCCCCGCTGACCACCCTTACGTCACCTCGGAGATTATGGATATCAACGACCAGCTCAACCGCGAACGCGAAGCCACCATGGGTACATCTTGGCTCGGACCCATCCGTGAGCTGTTCTCCAGCAAGGCCAACCTCTACCGTCTTCAGCTTTCAGTCCTGTCGCAGCTGCTATCGCAGTGGTCGGGCGCCAATTCCATCACAATGTAAGTTCGACACTCAGATCCCATGCTTCGCACACACAACTAACACGACTCCCAGCTACGCACCCAAGTACTTTGAAATGATGGGCACGAGCGGTCAACAAGAGAAGCTGTTTGCTACAGCCATCTTCGGTGTCGTCAAGTTTGTCAGTTCCATGATCTGCGCCTTCTTCCTGATCGACTTCCTCGGCCGTAAGCGTTCTCTCGCCACCGGTATCACACTCCAACTCCTATCCATGCTCTACATGGCCATATTCCTACTCATCGACACCGGTGTCGCCGATGGCGTACCCCAGAGCTCCAGCCAAAAGCACGCTGCCATGGGCGCCATCGTCATGATCTACTTCTCCGGTTTCGGTTGGGCGCTCGGATGGAACTCGATCCAGTACCTCATCAACTCCGAGATCTACCCTCTCCGTCTGCGTGCTCTCGGTGGTTCCATCGCCATGACATTCCACTTTGTCAACCAGTACGGTAACTCCAAGGCTGTACCTCTCATGTTCATTTCCATGACCCACGGAGGCACTATGCTGTTCTTCTCCTGCGTCACCGCCGTCGGTCTCGTCTGGGTGTACTTCTTCCTGCCCGAGACTTCTGGAAAGTCGCTCGAATCTCTCGACGAGATGTTCAACCTTCCTTGGCACCTTATTGGTCGCAAGGGTGCCGAGCTTACAAAGGGTTCTGGTGGCATGGCTGAGATTATGGATGAGTCGGGTGAGAAGGCTGTTGAGTACCAGATGGAGAATGCTGGTGGCGCTGAGCAGCAGACTCACCGCGTGGAGCAGAAGGTCTAAGCCACTGCGGCAGTCGTACGAATACCCTGTATATAGCATCGCACACATCAATAGTGTTGCTGGATGTATATGAATGGAGTCATGAACACAAAGTCCTTTTCTCATGCATGTGCACGTCTAACAATCTCTCAATAAATTGACAAGTTACACCTGCAACATTTACGATCGCTTTCACCCCATTCCTGTCAGGCATGCAAACTTTTACAGTTGAATCAATACCGATGTTTCCTCAAGCAAATGCTAACTTCGACCGAAAGATCGTCAGCCTCTTCGGATAACTAAGCCAATACCCACAGTAGGGAGCGACAAGCCAACTCAAACCCGGCGCCAGGTGAGTCAAAGTCTAAAGCTCAACCGATGTGGAGTACACGCTTTGGAACCCTAGAGCGATGATAGTGATATGAAAATATCGTCCCCAACACGCCGCTCAACCCACGATAACCCGCCCCATAACAATAACAATGAAAAAATAGCCGTGCAGAACTTTTGGGGAGAAAAGGAAAGGAGCAGCCAGACTACTCACACCATATCGTGAGTATCCAGATCACGCACACGACGTCGCACCTAGACCCCACCGGCCAGAGAAGAACGCTTTGACCGCCTGCCTCGCTGACTGCCCTCATCCGTCTCCTCCTCCAGCCACAGCGCAACCTCCAGTTTCGTTTCCGTCACCTGCTCCCTCGCCGCCTTCCTAAACACCTTCATCACCTCCCCCACAACCGTCACTTCTTCATCCTCGATGAACGTAATCTGACGCAGGAACGCGTACAGCGAAGTACTACCTAGCTTGATCTTGCGCTGCATCTTAGCGGTATCCAGACCAGCAGTTGTGGGATGGGAAGATAGGGAAGCGAAGGCCTCGCATATATCGTCTTTAGTGGTCGTGCCGTCCCAGAGTTCGAAGTCGAGGGCGTTGATGAAGGTTTCTAGGGATGTGGCGCCGAGGAGGGTTGTGCGTGCTTTTGAGGCTGCGCGAAGGATGGATGGGGTGGAGTGCGTTGAGGAGGGGCTGGAGGGTCTGAATGATTCTATGGTGTCGGACTCCGATGATGAGTCCGGGATGATGACGGTCTGCTCGACGGTGGTGGCTTTGGTGGCTTCGATGGCAGTGGGTTTGGAAAGAACAGTTTGCCAGAACCCATGGATGGGAGTCGCAATGACGACAGACGGCTCGTCGCGCGTTGTATCGTCTGTACTCAGCTCCTCAACAGCAGAGATAGGCTCCTCAGTAATGGGAGGCACCATGCTGGTGAACAGTGCATCAACGGCATCAGGGTCAGCGGTCCAAGTCTCGATATACCTGTTGGCCTTCTCGGCTTTCTTATTCTTATCCTGTTGTATGGAAACCGAAAAGTTGAGTGGCGCTACATGCGTAGCCACGAGCCTGTTGTGAAGGTTGCGAGTCTCTTTGGATGCACCCGGGCCATTTGGCTTGCAGAGAAGAGAGGCGACAAAGTCAGGCTCTTTCTTCTCCGTAGCGACGGACTTCTTCTTGTCAACCTTTTTAGCCTTCTGCTCTGTCTTTGAGGTCTTTTGTTGCTTGGACGCAATGGCCGGCAGCGAGAGAGGAGTGATATGAAGCGTAACTAGCTTCTCATGAGAGTCGCGCGCCTCCTGGGTCTCGCCTGGGCCGTTAGGCTTGGAAAGAAGAGAGGCGACAAAATCAGGTTCCTGCTTCTCAACCGGAGTAGACATCTGGAGGTTGGCTTTAGTAGCTTTTCGGTTGATCTTCTGCTGCTTGGGTGCAGTGACTGGCAGCGAGAGAGGAGCGACATGAAGCGCGACGAGCTTCTCGTGAAGATCGCGAGAATCCGTGGTCACACCAGAGCCATTGGGCCTCGCAAGAAGTGTCGCGACGTATGTGTATTCTTCTGCCATGACAACTGGATCGACAGTATTCATCGCAGTCTCGGTAGAGTCGGGCTCGGGGAGCGTTTGAACCACCTTGGACTCAATCGTGGTTACATCCTTAGATGCTTCAGATGTCTTGGCGGCCTTCTTCTCAGCCTTGCTAAGCTTCTGCTGCTTGGCTTCAACGACCGGCAGTACGATGGGCGCGACGTGCATAGCGACCAACTTAGCCTCTTCGTCGCGGGATAGGCGCGAAGGGTAAAGAGTTGAGTTTGGCATCGACAGGATCCCCGAAGGACTGCAAGTTGACTCTTCAAAAACAGCTGCCTGGATCGGCTCGGTCGACTTGTCAACCGCCTCAGACAGATTTCCCGACATTGAGGTATCCTCATTCGCATCATCTGTCGGAGCGGTGACATAGATGTGGGGTAGTGCAGTGATACTGGAAGCTTCGGAAGAATTGTCGTCGTCTTCAGGCTCCGCGATCTGCTCGGGAGAGGCAAGCTCTTGAACTAGCTGAGGAGCAACTTCGTCTGACTCAGTATCGGGTTCCGTGGCCCTATCTGACTCCTCAGACTGGGCAGTTCCGGGCGCATCAGCGGGCTGGAAGGAAGGTTCAGTGTCGTCGTCTGCCATGCGCTGCTCAATACCGTCTTCATGATCGTGGGCGGCACAAGACGCATGCGCAGAATGGTTGGCATGCACAATGCGCTCAACGACGCCATCGACAATGCGCTGCTCAACGATATCGCTGTAGCTGTAGCTTGGGCGAACAACTCGAAGAGGGGCAAGACGTTTCTCTTCAGCGCTAGCTTTCGTCTTCTCCATAGTCGCTTCGATCTCATGAGTCCGGTTGGCAGGAGGGGGAAGCGGTTTTCGATTCTTCTTCGCCGGTCTTCGTGAAGGTCGGTTAGGCTGGGCCTTGAGGATCGCGTTCTTGCCCTTAGACATCATCTCTTGCGCCGCCTTTTGCTTAGCAGCTTCGAGCTTCCTCTTCTGTATAGCAACATTCTCGATGCGCTTGGCTTCTTTCTCGGCAGCTATCTTGTGGAGAGCTTCTTGTTTGGCGTCAACAGGAGTGTTGGTGTTAGTGCTGTCAACGGTGACGGCATCAGATGTAACAGGGGCGATGTTAGTAGCAGACATCTTGTTAACTGCGTATGTAACTAGCTCAAAGCTTTGGGGTTTGTTCTTATGTGGCTGAATACGGTTGGGGTTGGGCAGGCTTTTGAACAAAGGTATCTGAAAAAAGTGAGTAGGCAGTTCAAGAATGTGGTTTGAGTGTGACAAACCAGTTGAGCCGTAGGGGTGGAACTGGATGTGTTAATTAGATCTGCCTGTACGAAAGTAGGGAAGAGAGCTGGTATAGTGAGAGTTGCTCATCAAAAGGGGGTGTTTATATGGAACAGGCGTGTAAAACTCCACTAAACGCTCAGACCAGGCGTGAATGGAGCTCGTGCTTGAGGTAGTGACAGAAGCCTAGACCGTGACCCGACTATGCGTTAATGAAAGAACAGGTGATGGGAATTAGCTTTCACTGACAAGGTGACCACCACGCGTAGGATGGTGGACTCGTCCGCGCTCGTAAGGTTTGGACAAGGCGGTGTCTCAAATTACATCTTGTCTTTCTGCGCTCGTAGCTATGTAGCGGTTATCCGACTCTAGGTTAGCCTTTCATGACTGAGTCTCATAGAAGCCGCATCGCCTTGCGCGCGGCTCCGTCTGGCATGGTCAACGCCTTGTGCATTTCTGGTAGATATAATTCACCTGCGGTGAATGTGAGATCCATATCAGTCCAGAATCAGAGCGGGCCTGTGTTGCTGTTACTTCGTCAAGCGCCGGAGAGAACCCGAAACCGCATGGTAACGAAGACATGCCATAGAGGATTCGGCGCCTCACACTACGTGCTGAGTGTGCGACCAGAGGTTCCTCTGCATGGGAAGACCAGATGCAGCTGACGAGACCTACGAAGCCTCAAGAGCGCTTGCACGCGGCCGGCCGTGACAACAATAGTGTTCGAATGGATTTGTGTAGGTTGATGCGCCGACACGGTGATGACATAAGGAGACAATCGCGTCAGGAAGCTGTTCGGATGCGGTGGCATTCGTTAGCACGGCGCAACAAAAAGAAGCATGCCGCTCCGCGTCGCATGTGCTGCAGAGGCATTCTTAGCTCTGACAATGTCTTGAGACAGCCCTTTTGATGTTGAAAAAGATAAAGGCGGCCGTTGCTATGTAGCGACCGGCGTGGTAGGTAGTTGTAGTAGTGTAGGTTTAGAGGTTGCGGGTCACGAACACCGAATCTGATCCCAACCGCTCCTGGGCCCTACCTACCCCATTATGCATGCAGTAGGCAAAAGCAAAAAGAATGAGCTCTCCAGCGGGGAATTGAACCCCGGTCTCCCGCGAGTTGCCTGATAGGTGACAAGCGGAAATACTGACCACTATACTACTGAAGATTGATCAACCAGAAGGTTGAGTAGCTGGATCGATGGGAAACAGCGTCACACTGGCAAATATAACTTCACACAAAGCAGTTCCTGCCTCCAGCGCTGCGCTGTACTCGATTCCTGGAGAAGGAATCGATTGAAAAAGAAGACGTGGTTCCCGCTTGAAGGTGGGGCATGCACCGGACCGGTAGCACCTGCATTCCCAGCCCCAAATTCTCGGCACTCACGAACCGTGACAAACACCCACAAACATCACAACAGCGACAAGATTGATACCCGCTGCCTGCTTCAATCGTCACGTCTTATCCCCATCAAGTATTTTTCGGACTATCCGACATCAACGCAAGTATCTTTCTTGCCCCTGAACCCCGAAGCGCCGAACGGGTCTCTTAATGGAGACCCCGAAAGAAATGATCCCGAATCTTCAGGCAGTGAGATCGCGGAAGGACCTATAGCTAATGAGTGTGTACTGTAAGGTAAGATGCGGTGTGGTTCTACCGATGACACGCATGCCCATGTGAGGCACTGGAAGCTGCCCCTGCAGCTCGAACCAGGTGCGCGGATCAGCATCGCGAATGATACCGCATCTTGCCACATACGCATGCCTGTATTGTGTAGAATGAAAATCGAGGGAATGCACCATCAATTCATCAATTCAAGTTGAGTTACGAAAGGTGCAGTGTGTTCTCATCGCAAGATGAATATGCAGATCTATCAAATCTGCCTAGGTGGGTAGGGAAGCGCGCACAAGATGTTTGCCAGAAAAGGCAGTGTTGACGCCCATTCGCGCATATCCGTCACCATCATCCGGGTATCGTGGAGGCTGAACCGTCGGCTCATGCCGTATCCTATCGGCGGGGAACAGCATTCTCGTGGCGTGTGATGTTGTACTATGCCACGATGTAGCGCTGGGTTACTACGTGCACGAGGCTATGCAATGGGCTGTACCTAGGCCTAAAGTTGCTATACGCGACGAGTGTGAATCTCTTGAATCTGCGAGAGAGCGTCCTGTAATATAACAGAGTGCAGACGCGATGCGCTTCTGCTCAAGATCAATAGTCTGACGCTGTGCCGTTCGACTTGTTCTATTGTAGGCGGAACCGCGTAGACACCAACCCAGGCAGACTGCCCGTGCCATGACCCCGACTCATACCGCCAACAACTCGCAACACCATGACAAAAGGTCAATGATGAGGTCGCAACATTTCCCATTGCGATAGGAGCGACGACGTCATGTCTGACCGGCAACAGTGTCTACCGGAGAGCACAGAGTCGCTAGCGCTGCAACAGAAGGGAAGGTGAAGGAAGGAAGCAGGCAAATCAGAGAAGAAGCGGTGGCTCATAGAGTAAGCTGCACTACCCAAGGTGCGGCGCGGGTCAGCGAGATTGAGCAGACATGGGCAGAGGGCTTGGCTGGGAATTGGAGGTGACGCGTTCTGGAATCTGGGGTCGCCCTGGGCAGGCAGGAGAGACAAAGAGAAGCGGAGTCGCGGGCTGGAGGCCTTGATTCATGGTGTTGTTGGAGCGTCGGAAGAAGTCACGATGGTCGCGACGAGAGGGCCAGCCGCTGATCAACAGGCAAGTCTTTATTGCGATGTCGAATGCACTGCATTGAAGATGCTCACTGCCATCTTGATCTACGGGGGGCATGTCGGCAGGGGTGCAGCAATGCTCAGCAGGACGTCGAGTGGCTGAGCGGGCATGCAGGCGTCCTCCGCCTCAGCGAAGTACGAGCACGTTGGCGCCCTCTTCTCCCACCGCCCGTTCAGCCCACGTCTTCGCTCGCTACTGCTCTGCTCTTATTGCTATTCAATAAGAACGAACGGCATCTTGTCCTGGTCGCTCGTTGTTGTTTTTCCCACCAGCTGGAACCATTGCGCCGTGCACCTGCCGCTTCGCCCCGGCTATCCACCTGCACTTGACGGACCGAAGCGATCTGCACCGCGTCAGGCTGAATAGCAGACAGCCAGGCGCCAGTGAGGCTCATATCGCATTCTGGAATTCGACAACAACTAGAGCCGACATTTGCCACAGTCACTCGTTTATTCATCGTTCGCGCGCTTCTGCTCTGCATGCCGACGTCTTCTTGGTTGCTCGCTCCCACTGCGCGAGAGTCATAGCAGAGACGCCAGGCACTACCCGAGACGCGAACCAGGCACCCCGCCGCGCAAGGCGCGAACCACCGACTCAATGCGCTCTAGCAACAAGAGCTATCACAACATCAGCGAGTCGGGCCATGAGAAGAGAGAGGGCACGCCGTGGTACTGGCGCCTTATAGCCCTGGCTGCGTCATGGATGATACTCGGAGGGTGAGTGCCTGCGATGCGTCTCGAGGCGGCTCAGACGAAAGCATGCTAACGCCTCGAAGCTACCTCATACTGCCCGGCCTCTACAGAAAAGACTACGAGCTCAAGTTCAGCCGAGCAGTCCTATCTGTCTTTGTTGTCGCGCTCCTCACAGCCGGCTACTCTTTCACAGCACTGCTCTGCTTCGCCTGTCGCAATGAGCGCTTCCAAGCCGACGGCGTCTTCCTGTAAGGCCACCATGCCTCCACCAACAGCGGAATACTAACCATATGTGTAGACCTGCGCTCACTTCTTCCGCACTCGGCCTTATCTCGATAGCCTACAACTTCGTCTCCTCGCCCAACTATCACTGGGGAAATGCCGCCATAAGCGGCACTGTCATCAGCGCCGCCGGAACAATCCTCTACAGCTCTCTCCTCCTCTGGACATACCGCCGCATAGTCAAGTCCAAGCGACATACCGACACACGCCAGAACCTCTGGTCCGACCAAAACTACTACAACAACTTCATCCCAAACATGTACCCCACCGCCATGCGCTCGCCCTCCCAGCCACCCGCCGCCCTATACTCCGAAGACGACCGCGTGAACCAGCAAATGGCTCTCCTCCTCAAATCAGGAGACCCGCGACCGAGCCCCGATATCAACACCACCTTCAGGATAGACCTGCCAGAAGACAGGGAGCAACAGGCAAGGCACCAGCACAGTCAGGAGTTGGTGGGCACGCCCGCACAAACACACGGCGATTGGGGCCGCGACCGCTCAGACAGCAGACCGGATAGTCTTAGCGAACAATGGACACAATATGGCCGGGGGCGAAGCGAGAACCGCCCTTCCAGTACAGAGGGACGAGGCAGTCACTCGCGCAACCTCAGCCGGGAAGAGCGGAGGCGCGAGATCGAACTTGGTCAAATACGCGTATGATCATATGATCATCTCTTTCCCCCAGCTTCTTTCTCATCTCTATCGTTCTTCACGCAAAACTACGCATTCTCTACGCACACGGATAAGCGTCGGTGTTCCGGATTCGGCGCTTTTGGAGTTTTCTTTCGCGGATTTGATACCTTTGTGTATTTCTATCATTATAACTGGGTCAATTTGGGGGGTGGGGGACGATGTACATGTTGCATGATTGCTTTGGGGCATATTATGGCGGAGTAGACTCTTTGTGTTTTGTGTTGTTCTTACTTATCTAGTGGAATCGATATTACTACGACGTCCTTTGGTCGCTTGTCACGTCTGCTTCCATTGATGTCAACAATACTACCAGCGTCTTTATCGCCACTCCTGCAACCCCCGCACCACTCGCCTCCCTCGGCTGCATATCTTCATATCTCCATAGCCCCATACCTCCTCCTCCATGCTGCGCTAAGGTCTTATACCTCGGGCCTC